ATAAATAAAAATAGAAAATTAGAAGATAAATTAAAAGTTGGAGAAATTTTAGTTAAAACATGTCGATTACTTGGTAAGATGATTATATGTTTTATTTAGACAAAAAAATAATCTTATTCATTTTCAAGAACAAAAAAAAATCTCTTTGAAGTTTTACATATACTTTGATGTGGAAAAATGAAAATGAGATATGCATGTTTAGTCGTTTTCTTTTTTTTTCTTGTCAGATTATTATTTTCCAAATAATAGAATGATATTAGAAATCTTTTTTTTTTTTGTTCTTTATTTCAGACACTAATTCTTATTTAATTGATCACATAAAAGAAAGAATGATAACTTTTTGATGTTAGTTGATAAAGGCTTTTAAGTTCATAAATGCGCAAAACAAATTATATGTCATGATGAAACCTTCATGAAATATATAATTTGAATGAAACTATCTGTTCTCATATATTTAGATTTATCCCCTCCCCTCAAAATAAATCTTAGGATAGATGTATTCAAATTGCATGAAATTTTCAGGATATGTTGAGGTTGTAGTGAAGAGACTATACTAGAATTATCAGTTCTATATCATGACGTTTGCGTGGGATATTCAAGTAAAAATGATCCAAAATAGCTCATTTGGCAACACGAAATTCTCTGTGGACTCTCATTCTATAGATTTAATTTCCTTTTTGAAATAACATGTCAGATTGTAATGTCGAGCAAAGCTCTTTGTTTTTAAAATTCTTACTTTTTATGTAGAGAAAAACGATGACAACTTCAATATTTTGCAAAACTGTCAAAAAATATTCATTCATTTATATAAATAATTATATATATATATATAATAATAAATAAGCTTAATTCAAAAAGCCGGATTTTGTCAGTCACTATAGTTTCACATGCTCTTTCAAACAAAGAAAAAATCAATTAAGCTTCTTCAAGATTTTCAAGCAGAAGGTAACAATATCTTCTCATGTACTTATCTCCATTGCGATTTTTCTGACAAAAATTGATTTCTTTTTTTTTTTCGAGCGGAAAGGACGGTCTTAATTACTATAATCTCTTATCTTTCTAATATATTACGTTTTGTGTATTACTTTCAAGGCGATATGTCAACAAAATATTCTTCGTTATTAATTAATACATTTCTCAATGCATCAAAGCAAACAGATGATGATATGTATCGAGCAAGTGCATTATCAAATCTTGGTCAATTATGTACTGTTCTAAAATATTCACTTTCAAAAGATCTTCCTGAAGTAAATATTTTGTTTGTTTTTTTTTTGTTTTTATGTAAAAACTCTTTTTCATCGAATTTATTTTTTTTTTTATTTTTCATTAGATTTTAATTGCTTTAAAAAGTTATTTATCAATATCAGAATCTTCTAATGTACGACGTGCATCAATTCTTGTTTGTGAACTATTATGTCAATCACTTGAACAATCAACATGGTTAACTATACTTGGAAATGAATTACGATCATTTTATCAATTAATAAATTATCTTTATAAAAATGATAAAGATGATATTGTTTGTTTACATGCACAAATAGCACTTGAAGTCTTAAATAAAATTTGTCAAGATTATTTACAACCATCTGTTATTTTAGAAAAAAAAATTCGTATTTTATCATAAAAAAAGAACATTTGTTCGTTTATATTTTGTTGTTATTATTATTATTTTTTACAAAATAAAATTTAAAAAGCTGTTGAAGTACAATAACGAAATGTTTGATAACGTCTTTGTACTGAATAATTATTTTCAAAACCTAATAATTGTTTTAATGTTAAACGAAATTGTGGTGATGCTATTCCATAGAGAACAAAATTTAATGCATGATTTGAATATGACATTAATAATGTTATTGAATTATATAAACGATAACGATGTTCTTGATTAAGATCTTGAAATATTTGACCAATAACAATAGGTGTTAATAATATAACAAAAACTAAATTTAATGCTAATAACATATAGGATACTTGTTTAGCACGTCGTGTTCCTTTACGTGTTTTTCCTTTAACAGCTATATGTACTGTTGTATGTCGTAATGAAAAAAAAAGACGATAAGCTATTATACCAGCACATATTGTCATTATAATAAATGGAATGAGTACATATGATAAAAGATCAATTATATTATAAGGTTTTTCAAAAAATTTAAAATAAGTTCTTGATGTATTATGTGTACATATAATAATATCTTTATATGATGATGTATTATGAATAAATGATTGATTTATAGTACGTTTTGAACCCATAAATAATAAAATATGAATATTTATTAATGAGATAATTATACATATAATGAAAAATATTCTATCGGCTGATTTTGGTCGACAGAAACGTTTATTTAATTGCATGACTGTACATGCAATAGCACGATCAATTGAAACAATAGTTAATGTCCATGATGATAATTGTGTTGTAACATATGTTAAAAATGTATGGAATTTGCATAGAAATAAATTTTGTACTCTTATATCAAATGAAAAATAATCACGTGATATTATATTTCCTAAACCTAAATAAAGTACAATTAAATCCACAATTGATAAATAAGCTAAATAACGAAATGTTGAATGTTTTCGTAATTGTTTTTGTTTAAAAACAATAAATGATAATGAATTTCCAATACTACCAACAAATAGACAAATAAGAGCAAATGGTTTTGTTATACGAGAATCATAAATATCATTTGATGTAAGAAATGTTTGTATTATTGATGTTGTCAATGATTTACTTAGTGTTGTTGTTGTTGTTGTTGTTGCTGTATTCGTTATTGAACTTGAACGAATATGATTTTGATGTTCAAAAGATTGTCTAATGATTGTCGAAGTTGAATGAGACCACATTAGGGGTATTTTTTATGATAATAAAAATATTTGTCTCTATAGGGAATAATAAATAACATTAGACAAGCACAGCTACAAACAAATTTAACTTTGATCTTATTATAAATAATATTCTTACTGTTTTTCTTTCTAAAAAAAGCAAAGCAAATTTACAATACGAAACAACAAAAAAAAAAAAAAGAACTTAATGAACTCATTATCTATAGCATGTTTTATAATATAATAAACAGTACTAATTGATTAGTATTACTATAGCTATATGACTAAAGTATGTTTGTATATATATATATATATATATATCATCTGTGTCATTTTATGAACTTACAATGTTGGTATGCATGCGAAGATTCACACTATGGGAATAAGAAAAAAAAAAATAGAGCGAATGTCTTTTTTTTCTTCTTATCTATTACTACTACACACTTTTTCTTCGTGCCGTCCATATTTCCGCTCCACAACTCGTTTTCATTTCTTCTCTCTCTCTCTCTCTCGTTCTCGTGTGCTCTTTCTGCTCTTACTTTTTTTCAGCAAAAAGTATTTCTGATATTATTCAGTGATGACAGACAGGTTCGAGATGTATATGCAAGTCTATATATTCATCTGGTTCTAATATTTATTGTCGTTCTAATCATTGACCTTTTCTTTTTTTTTGGTTGACTTTCTCTTCCTTCTATATGTTGATTGATGTAGCCGTTTTCTTCTTTTATTGAACAATGCACGTTCGTTCGCATTCGTTACTCAAAATAATCATCATTACATTTTATATAAATACAATAGAAAAGTCGTCAGTTTTCTATTGGCACTTGTATGCTGTGTGTTTGATGTTATCATTCTCGTCTTTTCTATATGATTTTAGTTTTTATAATAATATGAACAGTTTAAGAAATGAACTTAAGATGTATATTATAGTGTTGTTATTATATGTCGTTAACATCTCAAACTCCAGGTCTAATCTAGATAATGGTAGTATGTAACTAAAGGGCATAAGGATTATTATTTTTCTGTAAGAAAAAACAAAAGTAGAATACTTATCTCATAAAAAATAACAACATCAACTAAAAAGTGACGGTTGATTATATATACATATGTCAAATAACACCTATCATGGACTGTTCGTTCTATCAAACTTTGTACGAAGAAATATGGCTAATCATAAATTTGATAGACAAAAAAGAAACAAAAACAAAAATAAGTTTTTATTTAGTTCTTATTACATTATAAAAAAAATGAATAGATGACAAGAAAACTACTTATTTGATGTGATGCTTTATATTTTTACGAATAATAGAATGCAAATAAAACAAGAGCACTTGACCTTAGTCTTTTATATCAACATGATTGGTTTTGATCACAAAATAAAGTTGTGTGAATAATATTCGATTTTCATCATATGCACGAAAGTAATTTATTCATTGAAAAACCAAAAAAAAAAAAAAAACTAAAAAAGAAAATATTCAGACCAATATACTTACATAAATATAGGCAATAGCAGATGGGCATAAAGGGAGAATCTAAATATGTTTTTCCTTGCTCGTTTTTTTTTCTCTGTTTCTTGAAACTAAGATGTTATGTCGTTTAGCTTTACGAGAAGAAAATCTATAGGGCTGTAACATCGCAGAAAAAAATGTGTCAGTGATGAATGAGTTAGTCAATTAAAAATAAGTTTCTGTTTTCTAATACATTTTCGTCTGGTTTGAAATAAGTCTTGTTTATCGATTAATTATGATTCAGTAAGTGATAATAATACGATGATCGAAGAGAAGATAAAAACATTTTTTGCATACAAAAAAATAAAACAAAGAATTTCTAAAATATTCAGCTTAGATATCCTTTTTCAAGATTTATCATATCATAGAGTCAATGAATGATTGACAGTTTCCCAGACATGAATTATGATCTTATTATATAGATGTCAGCTGTTGTTGATGAACATTTCGTGTATATATGTGTGTTTTTTTATAGTGGCAAAGAAAAAAATTTGATTTGTTAAACATAAAAATCAATCATTGATAAGTTAGAACGAAGAAGAAGAAGAATATATAAAAAAAAAAAAGAAACAATAAATAAAGAATGAATATACTCAATAGAATACTTTTTATGTTGTCTGTGGATATATTAATTAAGAATAATAATAAATAATATTTAATTAATCAAAAATGTTACTCGAATCAACTCATATAAATATACTTTTATCATTTATACGTTCGATATCAAAATCGAATGATCCTGATCAATTATTATCCTATAATAAAGTAATAACAAATGAGATTATTAGTAAATAATCTTATAATCTTTTGTAATTATTTTTTTTTTCGTTTTAGCGTGCATCTATTTTACTTAATTCATTATTAAAACAAGTGCGTGATCGTATACTATCAAATCATACACTTACAATTGATCAACGTTTAGAAAATATTATAATATCATTAGCTTATCTAGCTGTTGAACTTACAGATAGATGCGATGTATGAAAAAAAAATTCTTTTTGTAAAAAAAAAAAAAAATTTAATATTTTATTATTTATTTTAAAGATTCGAGCAGAAATTGTACAAGTTTTAATTGATTTTTATCAAAAAATACCTACAGCTAAATATTATGAAATAGCTTCATTTGATTATAAACATAGTAAATAAAAAATTTGAAAATAAGATTAATGTGATATATTTATTATTTTTATTTTATAATAGCTTTACCACCAGCTGAAGTATTCGGTTTTTGTATTCATACAGCTTTAACTGAATTAGCATCAACATCAGACGATTTAAAAATAAGAGATAAAGTAAAAAATATAAATTTTTATTTTCTATGAAATATAATTGATTTGTTTTTTTTTGTTTTATAGATAATGTCTCTTGTCGCTGATATTATTCGACGAATAGTTGAAAGTTTACGTAAAGCAGCATATGAACATTCAAAAGGTAAATTTAATTTTGAAAACAAAACAAAAGTATTCATTTTAATATTATTATTATAGAGAGGTATCAATCAATTTATCGATTTGAAGTACCATTTTTATTTGGAACTCTTCGATCAATTGGACGGTAAGTTTTATTTAAAAAAAGTATTTAATATAATCTATTGAAAATTTTTCTTTACATACTTACAGAATGAATAGACTAAATTATGTATCGTGATTGATTGATAAACAAAAAATAGATAAAACTCTCATTTATTTCTTTCGAGACTTTTCGAATTCCAATGAGATTTAAAAACTAATGTTTTTCTCATACTAAATGATCTTCTTTCAATCAAGCATCTAACATTACTTATTCCTCCTACATTAGATAGAATTCCTAATTTTTTTATTATACATTACAAATTATTTTATCTATTTATAACCGAATACTATATTTAAAAAAAATTTTTTTTTTTTTCTTTCTCGAATATATAGAATATCAATAACAGATCAAAGTTTAATATCACAATTATTTCCAATAAATTTTATTCCTTCTACACAATCAATTTATATTGAACATACAGAATCAATAAATACATCAACATCAAATATAAAAACTTCAACAATAGCATTTCGTCCAATAATTCCAAAAGTTTTAACAAAAAATGTTTTATCATTAACAAGCGAAAATTTACAACATATTGTAAATTCTAATACAAATGTAATTTTATCAACTAATGATCAACAAGATTATTCGACTGGTTATAATCATCTTACATCAACATATCGATCACTTTCGTAAGTCTGTGCTATTTGTTTTTTCTAAAATAAGTTTATCTTTTGATTTATTCAATATTTTAAAAATTCTTCATTATAAAATCCCAAGAGAAAAATGTCTAATAGAATTATTTTTCTTTTCAATCATATTCTATGAAGAAGAGAAACTATGTTATTTAAAATAATATAATTACTATTGAATTATGTATGATTTTTATGATTACAGTTTATTTTACTAATTTTCTTTGTTTTTTGTTTTTTAATGATATTTAAAATCGATTGATATATAATAGTTATGATAATTGAAAACTTTTTATTTAATCTCATAGCATGGTAAAAACAACAAAATCAGGAAGTTTGCTGCTTTGAAAACCAATTCTGCCATTGTTGCTAATTGTATGTTCACTGTTATTAAGTGAATGTAGGCTTTATCGTAATGATCGCTCAAATATATATATATATATATATATTGATATAATTTAATCTTTTTAAATAACTAAAAACTTATATTCATCTTGTGATTTATTGTAATCATCAAAGAAACAGATGTTTTTCTTTTTGAAGACACAAATTATCCATATGTTAATATTATTGATTTTATTTATAGTATAGAGATGTCAATAAGTACTCGACATAAATAGATATGAGTTTATATCCGAATCAATGAATAAAGATGTCGTGTATATTTAATTGAATTATTATGTATTATGGAAAATGTGTTAATTTATTTAAAAGTGACAATTGATCGATATGAATATTAGTTGAGAAATTTATTGTAATAGAAAATTAAAAAATTATCAAGTTTTTTGATTCTTCTAATTTTTATAGTAATATCATGTAAAATAAAAAGTAAATATCTACTATTTTCTTAGATATTATTACTTTTAAGAGACAACAAAAGAGTTTGTAGTAGTATTAATATTAAAGCTAATTTTAGTCGAAAAAATAATGCTCTATATATTACAATTTAATCAACCATTTCAAACAAACTTTAATGTCGAATAATGAACTTTTGAATAATTTTTTTTCTTTTTTTACATTGGATGTTAAGTATAACTGTACAACCTAATTATGTAGATTATATTTAAGCCTTTGAGTATGAATGTATCCTTAAAATATTAGAAATTTCATCGTAATCCTCTTCGGACTTACTATCAGATTATAAATTCATTATGTATTCAATAATCTTAATCTTAGATTTTCAGTTAAATATAGTTATGCTTGATGAATAAAGAATAGGTCGAAATAAACGACATTTTCATTTGAACAAAATAAGAATAAAACAACTTTATATATATATATAAACATAAATTAACTGGTGAGAGAGAAAGGACAAGCAATTTACTTGATGCTTTCTTAAAGTACATGTCAAAGAAAACAGAACCTAGAGATCATGACGTCAGTATACGACAGGAGAAAAATAGAGAAAAAACAGATGCCTAGTAGTTGAAGCTGATTGACTTATGATCTTGTATGTTAAAACATACAGATAATAATATTCATGAAATGCGATCGTCTCATCAAGACCTTTCTTACAGGTGTTATTCTTGATGAGAGCCTATTTTATTTGACTAGTTCTTTTTCAAAAAATGATATCAAATTGATTCATGTTCTAACGGATTGAATTGTATAATGATTGTTTCAAATCTTAAGAGAAATGCAGAGGTCGCCGGAATTGTGGCTGATTCGACAACTTTCATTAAAGTTGACCGGATTTTAGGGGTGTTAACCACATAAATATCTATACATTTCATTCCATTGAATAATGAATAGATTATATTCAATGAAGCTATTCCGAAAAACGGAAGTTCGTGTCATTGGTACTCAAATGGTTAAAATATTTTTTTTTTCTTAATTCAACTTTTCCATTAGAATCAATTTTAATATCATAGAAATATGTGCTTGTTTGTCGTGATATTTCGTTTACTAATAGCATCTGTTTCTTTTTTCGTGACGATTTAGCTTATTCGTCTACGTTGATGCCTTTTGTTTTGTATTACGTTAAATTTATCGATCAGTTTTCGTAGTCCTATGGAAAATTTCCTATATTAATCTAAATAATGCTTTTTTTTTCTTCTAAAGCTCATTGTTTTAAATATTGATATCATATTTCAATTGAATGAATAAAATTTGTTTTGTTTTTTTTCTATTTTCTAGTTCGGTAGATAGTAATGATCTACCAACGTTTGATGATGATATTCCAGCAAATTGTTTATTCTTTTCTGTCAGTGGTTCAACTTATCGTCGTCAAATAAATTCTTCAACTTATATGAATTCAGATCGATTTCGTGTTTGTCTTACTGTACCTATATTAGAACATTTACATGAAGTAAAATATAACTTTTTTTGATTTTTAATAAAATAAAATTAAAAATTTTTTTTATAGACTTTAAAATTAATTGATAATCGTGTTGTTAAATATTTGGATAAAGTAGCTATTATTGAATATGATTCTATAAATCGAATAAATATGTCTACATCAAGTGTATGTATTTTGAAAAAAAGGACGTTTTTTGTTTTGAATTTATTTTTTGAATATTTAGTCAAAACTTCCAGCACGTCATTTTCCTTACACATATTTTGGTGATATACTTATTTTATGTATTATTAAATTATTTCGTGATAATCTTGAATTACTTGCAAGATTTAATGGTAAGTTTAAGAATAGATTTTGTTTTTTTTTTTTTTTGTTTTTTTGTAAGTTTGTGTTTATCTTGATTAATAACAGAGAAAAGTAAATTTATTTAGAGCGAAGAAAAAATCATCGTTTTGGTAGGTTTTATTGAATGCAATCACTTGTAGAATTGAAATTTTAATACTTATGTTCTAATCTAAAACAAAAAAAAAAAAGAAGATTATTTATTCAAAATTTAATTTTTGGTTTTTTTTTTATATTTGTTTTTAGAACGATTAGCATCAATAACAAAATCAACTTATTTATTTGTACAACAATTAATAGCATTAAAATTACTTGATTTAGATAATGATGAATATGAAAAAAATTCACATCGTTATCGAACACGTGTTGATGCAAATGCAGCAGCACTTGAATTACTTTGTTTATCATGTGATGATGAAATAGGTAAAAAAAAAATAAAAAGATTAAAATTATTGTTTAAGAATTCGATAAATGCAATCTATTTCTTTTGTATATAATCTAAAGTATATATATATGTCCTACTAATGGTTATTCTTAGATCTTCCGAGACAAAATAAAAAATTCTTCAGTATGTATATTGGCAAAGTATTATTTCATAATGGTTCTTCTTCATTCTGATGCTTTACTCTCTTAAGCAAACAATATATTTCTAACAAACTTTTGTTTTTTATCTATCAGATACACATTAGGTGACGGCTGTTGTACAAATATTTTCATGCATATATCACGGGTTTTCTGCATCACAGAGAACAAAAAATAATAATAAGCGAGTACATTTTGAAAAGTGATTGAAATATTAGAGAATATATTGATTGAGTTGTAACTTAAAAAGAAACGCCTATAAAAGCTAAATGATTCAAAACGTTCTTTTTCTGTATTGTTTAATAATAAAATAGAAAAAATATATTTAAATAAATATATTACTAAAATTATAATGAAGTTTAAAGTACCACAGTTTTTGTTTAGTAACAATACGAAAATTTAGAGCTTTAGAAGTTTCTAGGAATCGAAACTAGTAAAAGATTATGAATGTTTTTTATGAGATGCACTTGAACAATGCATAAAGAATATCTTAATATGAAAAAAAAATTAACATTTTATTATAAAGCAATTATTCATGTTCTGTTGATAAATGTATTCAGGATTGAACTCAATCATTTTAATCACTTCTCAATACTTATTCTTTTATTTTCATTGGTTTCGTTTTTTTCCTTGTTCTGTATATATAATGAGTGATGCTTAAATAATGCGACACTTTAGCAATCAATTTTTAGCTATCTTATGTAACCAATGGAAATTTCAAAAAAAAAACGATTTATTCGATAGAGAATTTTATTCTCTAGAAAATTTATCGAGCTCAATTATCTTTATAATAGTATTCAAAAATACGCATAGATATGAATTTCAAAATCGGAACTTAATTTTTTTTTTGAATTTTTCGAACGGTGATAGACTTGAGAATTCTACCGGCTTGTTTAACAGGGCTTGCAGAAAAACCAAGCTTCAGACTTCTATCTAAAGCTTTTGAGAAACGATTTTATTTGATATAGTAAATGATTCTGAGCAAGATTAGATGTTTCCAACTTCTTCATCGAACTGTATTCAATTTACAGAAGACGTAAGAAAGATTTTTCTCTTCTTTGTATTGAAAATTTCAATATTTTTATCATGATTGACGTTTTAAGGGTTTCTATAAATTGAATGTAGTTCGATGGAAACCGAAAGCTGGTTTTGAAGGTCTTGGTTTTTTCCAGATTCTTATTCAAGGAGTTTTATTTGAGTTTTTAGATCTACCATTCTTGAGAGAGAAACCTTTTAGCTACTCCAATATTTTTTCAGATTCTTGCTAGCTATTACGATTGAGAAGAAAACTTAAAAATACAGCTGCTCTAATCTTTTGTCCGTCACAATACTTCTAATTCTATTTCGAGGATCACTGACTTCCGAAAATTTAAAATATTAGGTTTCGATAGAGAACTAAATTCTCTATCAGATAGACATCCACTATTCCGATTGAATAACAAACGACCCAAATACCAAACTGACTATGCGTCAAAACGATTTAATCTCAATGCAACTCATTATTAATCTCATTGAACATCAATTTCAATGGTTGTATGGAATTTCCGCCGGAATTTTCACAATAAAAAAAAGGATTGTCGAAGTTCCGGTTTACTATCTCAATAGTACTTATCCGATCAAATACTATTCCAACCCGAGCTAGTACACATATACTATCGAATGAATGTTTTTCTTTAAATTTTCAATGGTTGTATCAGATATCGAAAAGTCAATTATAAAACTATTATAATATTCATCCGCCACTTTTTAAAATTTCTTTTTCTCTAAATTTCTTATCTAGAAGCGGAAAAATTATGTACAAAATGTGCAGAAAAATTCAGTCAAGAATCACTAAGTATCAAATTATTGGCAGCACAAATACCATTATTAGTAACATCATTAGAGGTACAAAAAAAGAAAGAAATGAAATTTTTTTTTCTTTTATTCTTAATAAAAATCAATTATAGGTTTTAAGTCGATTAGCAGAAAAACATAAATCATTAGCAATATATACAATTCGTGCATTATGTGATTTTTTAACTGAACCATCACCAGTACTTTATAAATTATATCGACATACAAGTTTAAAAATTGATGCACAAGAACGTGGATTTTTTTTTAATGAACAAGCTAAATCTTCGAAAGAATATCGAGCATTTCAAATATTTGAAAAATTACGTGATGCTGCAATCGAAGGACTTTGCAAGTTCGTTTTTTTTTCCTATTGGAAATCAAAAATAAATTTTTGTTTTCTTTTGTTTTAATTAAATAAATATTTAGATCATTATGTATTCGTTTGGATTCTGATCCGAAATGTGTTGAAGCATTACTTGTACAACTTTCAGCAAAACTTGCATCTGGACATGTTAATGATAAGTAAGTCTTTACAAAATATAGAATTACAAAGCTTTAGTATCGTTATTTTAATTGAATGAAAAAAGAAAAAAATATTATTTCGAAATTTTTATACGCTTTTTTGTTTTGTTTTGTTTTGTTTTGTTACATATTATTTATATAACGACAGGGACGTTTTCAGTTCACATTGGGCGTTTAACATTGTGTTACTCGATGCAGCTGTTCCCAAACGCCGTTCATCAATACGAAACGGTATTAACAAAGGAAAATATGAAAGTTTATTGTAAGTGAGAAAATTGAACGGAATACTTTTTTTTAATTATTCTATTAGATTTTCTCCGCTTGAATACTTTGCTTCTCTATATGTGTGCTATGAAATATTAGTAAATGTTAGAGTTTGAATTGTGCTTTGTTTTTCTGTTTTTTTAAGATTGCACATATGCTTTTCTGCTTCAATCTGCTTTTGAAATGCCACTACTATTTGAAGTTGTTTGATGATAGAGAGAAGAACTAAGAGCACTGTAAGAAAATAGGTCATCTTTTAATTTGTTCACTCTAAATGAATCTCATTTACACAATAGTAGATCCTGGGTCTTCTATTGTGAGTAATTTATTATCATATTTTTTAATTACAAAGATTTTTCAGAACAGCAAAACGATCTTACAGATTTACCAGATGATTTTAGAAGCCCTGAAAGAAGATCAATCGCAGTAATTTAATCATTTAATTATGAGATTTTCGCTAAGATAACAAAAAAAATTTCGAGTTTGTTTATTGAAGGCTATAAACGGGTATATACATAAAAAAAAAACAGGGGATTGCATTAGACTCTAATCAACACCGTAATATTATGGAATCATTCACGTAGGTTCATGAATAACTCTCTGGTTCGACATTATAATTGAGAACTAATAAAATTGAATGTCTAGTCTTCTGCGAGAGTAGAGTTTCACTAGTAATCACAACATTCTAGGACAACAATGATTTTAGAATTCTACACAATTTTATGATGTTCTATTTGATTTTACAGGACTTTAAATTGGGTGAAGATAGTCTACAAATTTTCATAAACTTTGAAATTCATAAATGTTTATTGTCTATTTCATATATATATATATATGTACAGAGATACTATATAATGATGCTGTGAAACTAAAGGCATAAAAGAAAGAATGATCATTTCATGGCCTTAGCAAGATAGAAGATTCAATCCGTAACTAAAGGGTTCAAATTTTCAACTTTAATTTCATATCCTAATTAAAGTTCCAATTTTTCGTGAACCTAATTAACTAAGACGAGGAGGGTCCTCTATTACAGAGAGAGAGGCTTACAAAGGCAATATTGTTGTGTTCTGATAAGATTCATTCATTTGTTATTCTTATTTAGAGATATGCTTATAGTAAGACTATCTTCTTTCTATTGTTTATATGTATTGTCAACTTTAAATTTCAATATAGAATCATTAAAAAAAAAAACTTAAAATTTATATAGTAATCTTTTATTGTTGACCTATTTGAATTGGCATAATCTATTCTCAAATTGCACGGCTGAAAATCTATTACGAAAAAACATATTAAAAAAATTTAACTTATACTTTTTCTTTTTCTTTGCTTATTAATTTAGACAAACATCTTTAGTATGTCATAATACAATACTTACATTGGGTCATATGGCAATAACATTAAAAGATGTTCAGCATACACAACAATCAATTTTAGCTCGATTTCAACAACGTCTTGGTGATCCACCATCACCATTAGATATTCTTATTATAAATCAAATTGGTTGTATGCTTATTTCAAGTCTTGTAAGTTATTTTGTTAGAGAAATATAAATCTTAATTTCAAAATAACGAAAGAAAGAAAAAAACAAAAAGATTATTATTTATAGAATAATTCATCAAATTTAGCAATAAAACAATTTTATATTTCATCATTAAATTCATTTTTAATAAAACCTTCACGTCGTATACCATTTCTAATTAATAAATTTAAATTACCATTTATAAAATTAACTCAAACACCAGTTGAATTTATATTTGATCGAACAACAATATTAAAAAGAAAAGATAGAAAAAATCTTAAAAAAGTTTTTAATCATATTTCTTGTCTATCTAATGGGGTATTCATAGAAAAAAAAAATTTAGCTAAAGCCTTTATTTTTTTTTCTCTTTGCATTGATTTTTTTTTTGATATAAATTAAATTTTCAAGAACAAAAGAAAATTATTATCATTTCTTTTTTTTTACTTTCAGCCACAGACAACTTATGAAGAAATTCTTGGACTTTTTACTGAAATAATTATCGATTCGACTTATTCGACATATGATAATGCGAATACAAATATAACAGGTCGACGTACGACTAAATATAAGTATGTTGATTAGAAATACAATCAAGTTTCTTCTCTTTCTATAAATTTAACCATCTGCCCTACGTTGAGTCGTATTTGACTCATGTATAGAAGTTATCTATTTGAAGTAAGAAAGCATCCGATTGCGACAGTTGCCGACGTATTGTGTATAATGTTTCAATAAGTTGCAAATTTGTAAAAAGTTAAACTTATTTTCATCATTCCTTGGTTAAGACTTATGAATTAAATAGCGGTGTTTTTTTTTATTTAGTTACACAGACTGATTATTCTAATGTTTGTCAGATTAATATATTGTACTACGGATATAATCTGTTTGCAGAGTAGTTTTTAAAAATTTCTTGATTACAGATATAAAAGTAGTGTTTTTTCATGGCAGACTTGGATAATTTTTGACTCATTCATAGTGAGTAATATAGTTTCTCTAGAATTATTTATATAAACTCATAAATAAACATGATGTTTATGCTAAAAACTTATATGTATCATTTCCCGAAATGACTCATATTGCATCTCCACAGTGAAATGACTCTGCCAAAAATTTAATTATAGCAGTATCCTAATCAGCACCTGCATAAGCTATTCGAGTAGTTAACTCAATACTTGCTCTACGGAATTAGTGTTAAAAGATTAAAAGTTAACGGAGATTGCTAATCCGTTTTAATTATTTCAACGTTAAGTATAAACGAATGAGGATAGTAGTAAGAGAACTATGATTTCATTCTAATATGACCCTGAGTTCTTTTTTAGGTCATAATCACGAAGATTTTTCAAATTGAGTTAAGGACATACAAATAAAGTTTTTGAAAACCCTTTCTATAGCATTAAATGTTGTCAAAATTGCTGATAGGTCATCAATAAATCTTAGATTTCTGGTAGAAGATACTGGAAATTTCACAAAAATCTGTGATTTTTGCATGACTTTGTCTTTGCTATAATCATAATAACAAGAGATTTGGCCATGCGCGAACCATGACCACTTTATAGACCTCTAATTCATTAGTATAAATAAGTCTTAATAGATAGTACTAACTCTTCATCGAAGAATAATGTCTTTCTCTAAGATTCATTAGTTATTATAATAGAATCGCCTATATATATCTGTGAGATTTGTCAAAATATACAGAATGAAAAATACATGTTTTAAAATGAACATATGCTTTCGAAAATAAGACTTTATCAATACGTTACTTTTTCATACTATTTTAAAAATCTTTTATCTTTATCTTCAAAAGAAAAAGAAAATTTTAATATATAAAATTTCTTTAGACAAGCATCAAATGCTGTTATTAATGCATTAGCTAATGTAGCTGCTAATATTCAAGGTTCATTAGAATTAATGAATTTATTAACAAGTATTCTTGAATTATTTGTTCAACTTGGTTTAAGAGCAAAAGATGCAAGTGAAAAATCAACAAAAAATGCTCTTAAAGTAAAGTTTTTTTTTTTGTTTATATTTATTTAAATTTGACATTTTATTATTGTGTGTTTTTTTTGCTAGGCATCAAATACTGCTGGTAGTCTTGGTGTATTAATACCTGTTATAGCTCTTGTTATGCGTCGTATATCAGTTATTGTTGAACCATCCGAACGTGTATTTCGTTTATTTCAACATTTTTGGTTTTATTGTGTTCTTTTTGGTTTTGCTGATTCGGAACGTGGTTTATGGCCATCGGAATGGCATGATTGTGTTCGATTAATTGCTACAAAATCTCCAACATTAGTAGCTCAAGCTGGTCCATATGTACCATTAAAATCTGCTATGCCATTAAAACCTGAACAAATAGCTAAAGTAAATTATAAATAAAAAACAAAATGAAAAGATTTAATGGTCCTTCCGTATCCAAAAAAAAAACGGTCTAATTTTCGCTAGAAAAATCGAAATTGAGATAAATGCGTAGGAAGATAGTTCGACATCTTATCTTTCATAAACGATATGATTTTTTTTATTTGGCATCTCGATTTTTTTTCCAAAATATTGTATACATGAGGCCTCTTCATTGTTAGTTAGGACTTTTATGAAACTTCATTCTCGAAATTAATTTTTCAAAATAAAAAAAAGAGATAGGCACCTCGAACAGTATTCAATAGCTGTAAAAAAATGAATGCCAGGTTTGTCAAACTTATTGTGACTGAGAAAGTGTAATGATTTTAGCCTTTGCGATCTAGATGTTCCCTAGAAGGAAATACTTGAGTATTTGGAGTCTATGAAGACTTTTACGCTACACATCAAGATCGATCTATCCTGAAAGTTTCAAATATTTCTGATGTGCTGTTTTTCAGAAACTCTGGAAAGGATGGACGATCCCGTTAAAGACCTATCTAAGAATTAAATTATTTGTTTTTATTCTAGGAAGATAATAATGAATTAAAATCACAATTAAATAATATTTTTTCTGCATTTCCAACAGCTAAACCATATATTGATAGATTTGGTTTTGAACAAAGTGCATATACACTTTCCGTGTATTATCTTGAAACATTCAGGTATTTTTAATTATTACAATCTCAAAAACAAAACCAGTATTTCAAAATTATTCTTTGTATTTGTTTAGAGTTCGTCATTCACTTGTACCATCAGCATTTCAATGTATATTTTCATATCTTGAAGATCCAGGTTTATTAAAAGATAAATATGGTATAAAAGAAAGAAAAACAAAAAAACATGATAATCAGAATTTTTCTGTTTCTTATATTAAAAGGTTTATGGACATTAATGACAGCTGTTGGAAGAAAAAGTTTTGCAATTTATGTTGATGAAATGAAAAAAATGGTAAGATTAACATGATAAAATTTCGAAAAAATTTTAACTATATATATATATATAAATTCTTAGCCAAAAAGTCCTGAACGAAATAAAAATCTTGAAGTTCAATGCCAATTTTTTATGGTTAAACGAACACATGTTCGAGCTGAAGTACGCGAAGAAGCTAAACTTTATCTTTATTCATTATTATCAAAAAATGCGTATGAATTCTTATTTATATTTAACAAAAACAAAACAAATAATGTTAATCTTTGCCTTTGCTTTTTTTTTTGTCTAATAGATTTCCACATTTATTCTGTAATTCAGTTGTTATTGAAACATTAATGAATATTATTAATATATTATCTTATTCATTAAATGAAGATAATTTACATAAAGTAACTGCACATCATCGTGTACCAAATACAAATTATACAATACAATTTGCTGATACACATGAAAAACGATTGGTTTGTTTAATTTCAAAAAAAAAAAAATATTAATTTTTCATAAGATTATTTTTATAATTAAATAGGAACTTTCTAATGCATTTGTGGATTTTGGTCGAACATTTATTGAACAAGCATTAATGATGTCACCAACATTACTTAAATCATGTATTCAAGTAAGAATTAAAATAATAAATTGAAGAAAGAAAAAAAAAAAGAATTTTTCATTATTTTAGCAATATATGCTTAAACTTGAACAAGGAAAAAAGATTTCAAATGCAGCTAGACAACATAAAGGTTTACATGTAAGTTTTTTTATTTTAATCAATAATTTTTATTAATTATTTAAATAATTTTATTTTAGGTTATGTGGGAATATTTAAGTACTTATTCAAAAACAGCTGATGCAAATGTAAGTTTGAGTTTGTTTTTTGTGAAACACAATCCAAAAGTTCTAGACGATTAAGTAAAAGGATAGTGAAATGTGTCCGAAAATAGATAGCATAAAACAATCTCTCTTGTGATCAGCGAAAGCAACTACATCGTATTTCATGTTTTAATCTCGCAGGGATTGTGTTAACAGTTTTTTTCTTTATTTTTTAATAAATAAAAGGCAACAACTGGAGGAAATAAATTATATTATCGAACAGATTTTGCTGATTATATGGTATCATTAGGTGAACGATGTGCAGCAGTTGGTTTTGTAAGTAAAATCAAATGAATACAAAATAGAATAATGATTTTTGATTATATTAGGTTGAAGGACTTGATCGTAGTGATTATCGAACAGCAATATTACAAGTAAAAGGACAAATGGAAACTGCTATTTATAATCGATTGAGTTCACTTGATAAATATAAATCATTACAACAACGTCGTCGTCGAATGTCAACTGTAGCACCTATTAGTGATAAAGGCATTGCACTTGATTTTGAAGAACGAATTGCAATTTGTAAAAGAATTTTTTTTTTGTTTTAATTTTTAAATCAATGCTTTTGAATATTTTCTTTTTTTTTTGTTTAGTCGATAGTGATTTTCGAAATGGACTTTTCAAATTAACAGCAATGTTAATTCATTATGTTGATGATTCAGGTGAAAGTTTACAAAGAAATTTTGTTGTAATATGTTTGTAATTAAGTAAAAACATTGTTTTCAATCGTTCGATTAGCTTCAATAGAATAAGAATAGATGAAATTATAGTTGAGAATTTTTGTTTTTTCAAATAACTCTTCTTTATTTTTAAATTCATAATTAAATTTTGATATATTTATATAGTAAGTTCTTATTTCATGTTGATAAAGTTCTGATAGAACTAGAGAAAGTATCAGTCAATATTCTTATCTGATTTGTGAACTCAGTAGGCAGAAATTTAGCTGACAAGACAAGAAATTTCTAATCTCGAAAGAATCTTACAGTTCTTAAAAGCCATGCCTGATTCTTTTTCATCGTAGAATACGATAATTTTTTGAATAATCTAGCAAGATTCTTGCGCTCTATTCTCATGATTAATATCGATCAGCTGTAATATCGTTTTCACAAGAAAATAAAAAATCATTTATTTAACTGTTAACTTACTTTGTTTCGTATAGCGAAGAAGTGCATTGCATCCAAAACTACGAGATGAAGTTTTGATTACGATTTATTTTATAAAATTAATAAATGAGATAATACAATGAACGGTATTTCATAAAGAATGAGTCTATTAAGGATTAAATTCCTTCTCTCAACTTTTCAGCGTTTGATGTGCATTCTTTTTTCAAAAAGTCCCAACAACAGAGTTTAACGGCTCGTACGCGAAAGGCGCGAGTGTTACACATCACTGTTGTAGAGCATGTTAACTGAAAAATGTTCATTATAGAAATAAGCTGAAGAAGCATTTACAAGTAATTAATATAGGCATATAGGAAAGAAAAACTGACTATCTATCTTTCAACTCTATTAAGAATCTTTTTATCCTTCTATTTTATCGATATAGTGAATACTAACTTGAATATTTATATTCTAGAAGACAATGAACATGAACTACGTTTTACAGCAATTGGTAGTACACCTAATGGAATCAATACACAAAAAGGTAACTGATAAAATTATCTATTCGATAGTTCATTTTTATTTGCAAATTTTTATTTTAAGAAAATGCACTTGATCGAGATATGGTTCATGCAATGACATGGCTTCCAATAAAAATGTTTACAACATCAGTAATGGAAGGAGCAGTTGATTGTTGGTGTTGGGCAATAATAGGTCGACCTGAACTTGAATTATTAGTAAATAGATTATATAATGATTTTTTTTTGTTTTATGATGAAATTTATTTCAAATTTAAGATTGTTGAAGAAATTTATAAAGTTTGGGAAAAAATAATAAGTGATCGACATGGTCTTTATTCAATTGATAAACCAGAACCATCACCACTTGCACCATCAGAAAAAGAAGAATTAAAACCTAAACCACCATCTGTAAATCCACATCGAATATTTTTAAAAGTAATTAAATATTAATTTACATGATTTTATTTATTTTTATTTTTTTTTTCTTTAGTTTATTGAAGAACGTATATTTTTATGTATGCATAAAGCTGATATTGAAATGGAAATGCTTGTTGATTTATTACATAAATCACTTTCATTAATATTAGAAAATTCAAAAGCACCAATGACAAAACATGTTGGTGCTGTTGGTCTTCGATTTCGTTTTTTATATTTAGCTTTATATCTTGTACAAAGTGATTATTTATCTGATGGTGTTAGTAAATTTTTACTTCGAGAAAAAATTTATCATACAGCATTTGATTATTTTACGTAAGTAAACAATTCAACAGAAAAAAAAACAAAATAAAGCATATTTTGTTTTTTTTACTAATAATAATTTATTAAAATTTCTTTAGTGTTCATCATCATTGTCCAACTCAAACACATAATGAATTAAGAAATGATATTCGAACATTAATTCGATTTTTTTCATTAGTTCATGGTGAAAAGAAATTTTGTAATGATTCACCGATAACAAGTATATTTGTTTTTTTTCTTTTGTTAAAAAGAAAACGTTAAGTAAATTTTTTATTTATTTTAGTTAATGGTAGTAGTTCAATACCGAATGGTATTAATAATGAAACAATTGATGCTGCATCATTATATGGTACAACAAAAAGTGGAACAACATCTGGATGGATTAATGCATTAGCTGGTAGTAGTGCTGGAGTTGTACAAGGTGTTGGTGGACAATCAACATTAAGTCGAAAGTCTGGTAATGAAATAATAAATTATTAAGATTGAATTTTTCTATAATGAACTATCATATTAATAATATCAGAATGTATATAATCTATCGAGTAAAAGTCTTGACATATAATATTCATTCATTTTTCGGATAGCTGGTTAGAATCAGACTTTTTTGTTTTTTCTGAATATTTGTTCAACATTTCCATCTGACGAGTCAAATTGAATCACCATTATGCAAAAGTTCAAAATATTGATTATACAGAATACTATTTCGATCGAAATCTATCAACTTTAAAATGCGAAACAGTTTATAATAGATCAATTTGCTATACAACACGCGCTATTTACATTTGTATGACAAATTTTAAATACTTGTATATTTTTAAAAGTAGTTTTTGCAACTCATTTCGTACAGAATTCAATGTTCTAGAATAATATTGAGTTATTGCAAAATTTATCGATAGTTGTTGAATCTTAGCCCCCCGCAAGAAAAATCTGAAGATTCTAACTAATTGCTTCTGGCTCTAACAAGTTGTCTTAATTAGTGAATATATTGTACCAAGACTGCTCTATATTGAGTTTATAAGAAAGTCTCGGTAAGACTAGGAAGATTCCTAGAAGGGTTCGTGTCAGTGTGTCTCTAAAGTCGAGTTATGACCGTTTTATTGAATTTTCGATAAATATCTAGAGCTGAGTAGAAAATTCAGGAAAACCATCATAACTCGGCTCGAGAGGCTCATCAACAGGAACGCTTTTAGGAATCTTTCTAGTCTTACCGAAACTTCCTTGTGAACTCAATATGAGTTCAAACGATGGGTATCAATTCGAGTAGTTTTCTTGAAATGAGAAAACATTCTTGAAATTCTTCGATATTGATTGATTTTGTATTTATTCTAGGTACATCAGCAAAAAATACTGATAGAAGTAATGATGCACAAATATTATCTCGAGATTTACTTAAAAAACGTAATCTTCTTTTAACATTACTTGTAAGTTAAATAAATCTTTTATTAAATTAACTACAAAAATCTTAAATTTTCTTAAGGCTTATGAAATTGAACGTTTAGAAACATTTCATAATCCATTAGGACGTCCAGAACTTCAATTTGATCAAGATACACAAACAACATATACAAATTGGAAATTATATGATATGAATGGAATTACTAATAAAGCTTGGCAAGAATATGGACGTTTAGCTTGGTTTATTTCACCTGATTTAGCTATTAGTCTTTATTATACGTACGTTTATTTAAATTTTTAATCTTTTTTTTTTTTTTTTGAAAACATTTTATTTGACTTTAGTGTTCCAAAAGAATCTTTACGTCTTGAAATTCAACGTCTAGTTAGATCATATCCTTTGCAAGTTCGTCATATACCAGAAGCACTAAGTATATTTACATTAACCTCAGATAATGATCGACAATGTGAAGTAATAAATTTAAAAAGAAAAAAAGAAAATAATCATACACAATTCTTTTATTGTTTATTTGTAATTTTAGACATCTCATATATTAACTTGGGCTCCAATTAATCCTGTTGCTGCACTATCTTATTTTGCTAGTGCACGTCTTAATCAAGTTGCAAATTCTTATACAATTCAATTTGCTTCACGAATGTTATATACAACAAAATCTGAAGCACTTATTTTATATATTCCTCAATTAGTACAAGCTGTTCGTTATGATGAAGTATATTCAAAAAAAAATAAAAACTAATAATAATGATAATTGAATTAATATAAATTATTTTCTATTTAGATGGGTTTTGTACGTTGTTTAATATTAGCATTATCGAAAAAATCAAATTTATTAGCACATCAACTTATATGGAATATTCGAACAAATACATATAAAAATGAAGATACACCTGATCAGGAAATGCAAGCTAAATTAGAACCAATAGCTCGACAAATTGAAATTGATTTTACACATGATGCAAGAAATTTTTATGAACGTGTTTTTGCTTTTTCCAATCGACTTACTAAAGTATCTGATACAATTAAAAGTTATCCAAAAGGAAATTCACGTAAAGAAGGTAAAATTAAATAAAATAAGCTCTAAGGAAAAGTATTTTGTTTCTTCGGGACGATTATGCAATTCTAATTAGAAAATTTCATCGAGAGTATCAAAGTACGGTTCGATTGGATCCGAAAATTTTTGGACTGGATCGAATAGATGTTTTTAGCAAACAAATATCGATAAACTAGAGATTTTACTAAGAAAAATACTTACTAGAAAAGAATAGTAATTTTAATTTAAAATAATAGTATTTTGCTCAAAAATTGGACTTTACGTGCTGAAATTGAATTAGAATCCACTGGATTTCGAAAAAAAGGCTTTTACAAAATTCATAGCCTTCTATCACACCTCGTGAAATTTTTCTTATAGTTAGCCTTCTAATATAGGATAGCTTTATGTTCTCTGAGGAGATTTACAACATCCATACAAGAATAAATATAAAGTTCTTCTCTTCGCGAAGAACTGTTTCGAACTTCTACGAAGCGAAATACATCGTTCTTAACACAATTATACGAACTCCGAAAAACCTAATCTTTAAGAAAAGGTCTTCCTTGCGACTCAATGCTAATAATCAGTATTAAAACATAATTTTTGTCTTTCTGTTAAAAACAAATATTCTAAATTATGTCACAAATATTCAATGATTTTTGTATATGAGGAAAGTTACAGGTATATTACCCAGTAACGGTAACACATAACGAAACTTGAAACTTTAAGCAGTTTTTCGAAATTTGTGATAGAGATTCTGATTCTTTGACTCCGAATACTTTTGATTAAACTTTATAAGAAATCACTACTTTCGAAACATAGCCTTTTCATGATAAATTCGCAAATTTTTTGCGTTACCATTACTAAGTAACGCAAGGGTAGCTCACTACTAGATTTTTATAAAATATGAGAACACTAAACTGAATCTGTTCATTTAAATATGTAAAGAATTTCTCTCTTATACTACACTATAAATAAAAATTCTTGTCGTATGATATACTAATTGAAATTATTTGTTTTGTTTTTTCTAATTAGCTTGTCTACAAGAATTACGAACAATTGGTAGTGAAGTACCACCTGGTGTTTATCTACCATCAAATCCTGAAGCAATTGTTATTTCTTTAATACCAGAAAGTGGAGCACCAATGCAAAGGTAAAACATATATTAACTTAAAAAGAAATTGACTATAATTATAAAAAACAATAAATTGAATTCTAGCGCGGCTAAAGCACCATATCGTGCAACATTTCGTGTTCAAACTGTTGGTATTGAACAAGTTGAACGTTGTGCTGATCCTGATTATGAATTAATGCAAGATTTTAGTAATCAATATTCTCAAATGGCTATTTTTAAAGTTGGCGATGATGTTCGACAGGTAGAATTATCTCGGTTCTATTTTCATTTACAAAAAAAACCTACTGTTTTTTTTTTTTATTTCAAAAACAAAAAGGATATTTTGGCTTTACAATTAATGCGTCTTTTTCAAAATATATTTGAACAAGAAGGTTTAGAATTATATTTATATACATATCGTGTTATTGCTACAAGTCCTGGTGTAAGTATTTAATTAATTAATAATTATTTTCAAACGACAAAAAAAAAAAATTATTTATAATAGTGTGGTGTTATTGAATGTGTACCAAATTCTCGTTCACGTGAAGATATTGGTAGAAATACAGAAGTTGGTTTATTTGAATATTTTCGACATGTTTACGGAAAAGATGATTCAATTAAATTTCAAAAAGTAAAATTAAACAGATAAAAAAGAAGAAAATTTATAAAAATCGATTTCTTTTTTTTTGCGTTGAAGGCACGTCGAAATTTTGTTATGAGTATGGCAGCATACTCAATAGCACTTTTTATGCTTCAAATAAAAGATCGTCATAATGGAAATATTATGTTTGTTTTAATAATAAATTTTCTTGTATTTTATATAGATTTTATTTATTTAGGATTGATGATGAAGGACATATTGTTCATATTGGTTTGTTTTTACGACAATATGTTTATATTATAAATAATAATTTTTTGTTTTTTTTTCGTTATATAGATTTTGGTTTTATGTTTGAATCATCACCTGGTGGTAATATGCGCTTTGAGCCAGATATTAAATTAACTGCAGAAATGATTCTTATTATGGGTGATCTTACTGCTCCAGCTTTTCAATGGTTTAAAGAATTATGTATTAAAGGTTATTTAGCTTTAAGGTAAAAATTAATTTTTATCATATAATAATTCAAATCTTCATTAGGAGATTATCGTTCTTGGAAAAGAATTGCTTTGATTGAGAAGTTAGTAAATACTAATATTTTCTTTTCATGCGTAAGAATTATTTAGAATAAGATGGATAAAAGACAATGCAAAGTAATTGAACAGTATTCATAAAGACTTATAGCAAATTATTGTCAGTAATGTTTTAAATTGATATTATTGGTTAGCTCAGAGAGTTAGAAAATTTTTCTCAATCAGGATACAGTTCCAAAAAATTACATCCGATATCGTTAAATCATCCGATAGATACAAAAATTCTTAAATCTATATTGAGAAATCTTCATTTTTTTCATTCCTAAGATTAAATATTTCAATATATATGTATAATATTGTTTTGTTTAAGTACTGAAATATATGGCGTTTTTAATCTTAATAATTCAATAGTGAAAATTTGTCAAAATAGATTTAACAATTTCGATTCTCCGTCATATTTTAGAAACCGTCGAAATTTAGCTGTGAGTTTGAATCCATAAAAACGTGGAATTACAGCTCTCTAATACGAAAAAAGCTTACCTTGTACTCATCTAAATCATGATAATCTCTTCTCATAGATTGTAATAAGACTTGATTTCATAATTCTAAAGAATAATATTTTACATAAAAAATACTGATAAAATATAATTTTTTTAATTTTCAGACCATATCGTCATCATTTTATAACTCTTGTTGCATTAATGCTTGATACTGGTTTACCATGTTTTCGTGGTCATACATTAGAACAATTAAATGCTCGTTTAAAACCTGATACAAGTGAAGCTGATGCAGCTCGTTATATGCATGAAGTAATCAATCGATGTGCACATAGTTTAAGAACACGTCTATATGATTATATTCAATATCAACAAAATTCAATACCTTATTAATAAAAAGAAGAAAGCTTTCTTTCTTTCACTATATATCTTTATTTCAATTCTATTTACGGTGTTTTATGTTTTTATTTTCTGTGCAATTTAGGCAATCTCGCATTAATTTATATTCAATCTATCTCTGTATTTCTTTTTACATGAGCATGAAAGTATATTTTTTTTCTTGTGTTTAGAACCAAGATAGAGCGATGCGCTCTTCCCTTCAACCCATTTGTTTGTTGTGTCTAGTCTATCTTTTTTTCTCATTTCTTTGTGTAATAGCAATTTATTTTTATTTTCGATTTTTGTGTATGTGTATACAAATGAAAAAGAAAAAAAAACAAACAGATGTGTATTAACATTCAATTGTCATATTCTTCTTCTTCTTCTTCTTCTTTTTTCCTTTTTTTTTTTTTTTATCGTAAATGATATTTATTTATGTTTGCATTTAGTTAGATCAAAATATCAATTTATTTTAGATGGCTGACCCTGTTTATTTAGCTTTGCTTGGATCAGCAGAATATTTTCGAACAAGTACACCACCAAATTATCGTTTAGCAATTCAATGTTTACAAGCTATTTTAACAATAAGATTACCACCATTAATTGAAGCAAAAGTTCATTTATTTTTGGGAAGATTATATACACAACATACAACAAATATTGATATGGCATCGATGCATCTTGATAAAGCTGTTTGTTTTGTTTTGTTTTTTCTTGATTATCTATAATTTTAATATATTAATATTTTGTTCTATTTTTTGTTTTTTCAAGTGTCATTTAGCTCAAATGCCGGATGATATAAAACTTGAAAGTCTTTGTTTATTAGCAAAAATTTATTTAAATCAAAATCAATTTGCATCATCAATAACATTACTTCAACAAGCATATGATCTTTCATCTCAACAACCATATTGGCATTGTAGAATTATATTTCAAATAATTGTAAAATATATAAGATTAAAATTTATACATATATATTAAACATTTGTTGTTGTTATTTTTAATTTTAGAATATTTATCATTCTCAAGAAGATTATAATACATCAATTTATTATACTGATCGTGGAATAGAATTTTGTGTAAGAATTAATGCTTTATTTTGTCAAATTCTTTTTCAACTTACGAAAGCAATGGTAATAGATTTTAGTTAAAATAAAGATTTAAAAAATTAAAGTTTTTATTTTTTTTTGTTTTTTAGTTACGATTATCATTAAAAGATTATATAGATGCACAAAATTTATTAAAACCATGTTTAGATAGAATTAATGCATTACAAGGCAATTTTTCACATATTGAAACATTAAGAATTTTTTATTTGGTTTTACATATTTCATGTTCTTGTTTTGGACTTGGTCAAGTATGTTATTTTAAATAGAAATGATATATTAAAATAAAAGATATTATGTGATAGGAAAACAGTCGACAGAAAAACAATCTGTCAAGAAAAACGAGAATTTTTAACTTATCTTGAGATATTTTCAGATTATCTTTTAGAATTCTAGTTAGTAAAAAAAACAGAAATGAGTTTAGACAGAAGGAGTGTGTCTGAATTGTCTGTTTCCTCATAGAATAAAAACTTCGGATATTTCCAAATTTCTATCGTTTATGAGTAAAACTACATTTCAATCTTTCCGATTGAATAATTTATCAATGATTAATTACATTTTAAAAATTTATAAATGTTTTACATGTAGATAAAATCATCAAAAAATGCATTGATGCAACTTCAACAAAGTATTCAAAATCTAGCAAGTCGTCCTGAAGAAGGTTATTTATCTCCTTATAAAATCATAATTCTATATTTCTTTTTCATTCATTTTAGAAGCATATTTAGTCACAAATCCACTCGAACAGTTTGTATGGTTATCTCGTGATCATTTAAATGTTCTTGTTTATTTAGTATGTTAATTGAATAAATTCAAATTTAAATAATAAACCTTTGTTCTTGTTATTTTTTTAAACTCATTTCTTTAGTTAACTGTTTTTCATTCAATGCTATCAGGTCGATTAGAAAAAGCTCTTAAATATGCTGATAAAGCTCAAGCACAAATAGAACAAATTAAAAATGTTGATCATAGTCCATTTTTAATGGCTGTTGAAATGTTATTTTATGAATGTCGTATACAAAGTCATTTAATATTTGGTAATAAATCTGTTGCTATTAAAGAAGTAAATAAATTCATTTTTATATCTAAACATGTACTTAAAATGAAAACGAATATTTATTTAGATCAATGTATTATGTCGTCTTCATAATACATCAAATCCGATTAATAATAGCAATGCTATTCAACGAACATTAACTCTTCATGCATTATTAGTAAATTTATCTTACAGAAATAAGATAAAAAAAGAAAAGAAAATTATTTTTTATTTTAGGGTTTCTATGCAACATCATTAAATTTTAATGAAGCAGCTGAAGCACAAGTAATTTCAAAAATATAATGAATGATGAGGAAGTTTTTAGACAAGATATTTGTTTACTTTTGATTCAATAGAAAATATTTCCAACCAATCAAAAGCTATGAGTTAGCATTCTCTTTTGGAATATGGAATCAAAAATTTTATTTCAGTGAAATAATCTTTGAAAAGCCCAAAACATTAGTTTGGGCAGAAAAATTTTATATCTCCACTATTGTGATTCAAAACTAAAAGTTAGCATGTTTATTTATATATTAGCTTGTAGATCAGAAGCTATCCTACAAAATGCACTATTTGAAGTTGTTTTCTGTCTTTCGACAAGGCAACTTGATTTTTGAAAAATCGACAACTGTTTTACATTGTAAAAGGAGCTCTTGAAAAAATGCTTGAATAGAAACTACAGCTTAGTTCAATATGACATTTTGTTGAGAACTGTTCGCTCTACAAAACGACTGATTCCGACAATTTTTCGCATGTTTACTCGTCTAAAATGCTTTCTATCGTATCAAGAGTAAACAAATATCTTGTCTAGAAACTTTCCGGTCATTGATTATTCAAAATTCTTTTGTTTTTCTTTAGTTTGCAAGTGCTCTTCGAACACGAGTAAATTAATTCTTTTGATAATATAAATAAATTTTGAAAGTGTTATTCTTTTTTGTAAATATAGTTTTCTGGCGATAAAGAATTTCGTTTTTTTATTTTTGCTAATCTTATTATTATTTATTTACGAACATCAAAAATAGCAAATCTAATACCAATATTACAACAAATTAATATTGAATTAAATACAACTCAGTAAGATAATATTTATTTTGAAAAAAGAAAACCAACATATTATATATCTTAATTATATAGATCAGCAATACTTCATGCTATTGGAAATTTATTAAATGGTCTTCATAATTTAACACAATCTCGTATACATGAAGCTAAGTAAGACTATGTAAAAGATTATTTTAAAAAAAAATCTGTTTTCTATTTTGTATTTAAACAGAGAACTCTTTCGACGTTCAGCTAATCTTGCTAGTAATGAAGATTTAAATAAAATTTTAACTAATACATTTATCATTCTTGGTCATATGTTTTTTCGAATGCATAGTTATCAAGTAAAAAAAAATAAATTATTAATAATTATTCTCTCTAATTTTGTTGTATACTATAGGAAAGTGCAAATATGCTTCAATCAGCAACAACAATAAGCCAATCAATTCCTGATTATACTGCACAATTGAATACAATGAGTTTACTTCGAGGTAGAAATTTATTTTTTTCTTTTAAAATTTAATTTCTTTTGTTTAGATCTTTATCATGTTTGTAATGATCCTCGATTAGCTGAAACAAACGATCGAGTTATACAAATAAATGATAGCTTACAAAAAGATTATCAGTCTGCAATAGCACTTGCTGAACATCGTCATCTTTTAACTGTAAGAAAAAAAAAACAAATACATATACATATACATATATACTTCTTTTTCTTTTCAGTGGACTGATGGTGTTTGTCCGATGATAAATTAATTTCAACATTATTATTATTGTTTTGTATGAAAGACTAAACGTAGCTTTGTATATATAAGTTTAATGTATTATGTATATGAATGTTGTTACAAACAAATAGTCTTGGATATTAATGAATAAACGCATCTTAGAAAAAAAAACAGAAATCTTGTCTATACAATATCCTATGAAAAATATAAATGTAAAACTCAAACGTTCTTTTTAGGCTTATAATCATAACTTTCTAGCCCCTTGGGGGTGGGATGTACCTACATCTACTTCAATTCCCATTCAACCAGTAGTGACTGACTTCAGCATGCCTCTGATAGTGGCATAGACCGAAAGCTTTTACTAGGGATGAGGGCTCATCCATCTATAATCTCCTGGCGGCTATCTCACTATAGTTTCTTATGATACTCCGATGGTATAGATCATCTTATAGACCATCGATCGATTGTTTCAAATGTATCCTGAAAATTTCATTTATCTTCTTTTTTTTTCTTTAGTTACACCCATTACTTCTATACTGTTTTCTCGGGTCTCCGATGAGTGATGACATCTATTATCGATTTTTCAAGTATTATCTAAAAAATGTTTTGGTCATTCGTCATAGTTACGTACATATTGAAATGAATACCTTCTCATTTTATGAAATCTCTAGTAGACAAATTATATCATCTTTTAGTGATTCGACTTTTGTTCAGAACAATTCTACATTAGTTTTGAGTGATTTTCTTGTTCATTAAAATGATTTATTTAAGAATTGAATGTTTCTTAAATTATATGATAAACTAGAATTTATTGAAAAAACTGATATCTACTACAAACGTCTGGTCTTTAATAAAAAGCAATTGTCAATGAAAAGTTCTGTAAGATAATATGCGTAAATTATATTCAAAATCGGTTTCTATAGTGATCTTGTTTTATTTTTCTACGTGAATGAAACATGAAAATGGATGCTGAAATAAAATTATGTACAATAAAATTTAAACTGTTTTCAAGTCTTCTGTTGTAATATCTAACGTGTTCCTTGATTATTAGCAACTGTTGATGATGATGCTGTTGTTGTTGCTGATGGTCCTATACCATCAGTTGAT